TGATTTTGTTTGTCATGTTGAACTCTCTCTAACTGGATTTCTAAGTATACCAGTGCAATCAACCATAAATCCTATGTATTCCTAGGATGATGTGTAGGTTAATGAATGCTTGTGAAATACTTCCAAGGTATTATCATAACTTATACATTATTTGCTGTGAAAGCTCATACATTCCCCAGACAATATATGTGTCTTCTGTTCATTCTGGAACAGAGTCTTTTGCTACCTGCGTTTCTGGAAGAAAAAAGAATTGTTTGAGGTATTTGGAAAGCTTACTTTTGGCAGCTGCATTGCTCTTCAGAGATGAAGGTGAGAAACGGTATAGATCCTTCAGGCCTAGTCCAAATTACCAGTAAAATCTGTAAGGGTTACCCTGTTACAAAACAATTCTTCTTGATGTATTTGAATCCTAGATTTTTTCCTATGGCAATTAGTGTTTTTGCTTCTATTTGATTAAATAAATAGAAAGCATTTTAACTATACTGTCCTAATAGCAATTTCATGGTGACTGGGTTCAGTGTTGTTGTATTTATTACACAGATGAAAATGATTCTTATGAGTCTACTGATGTGATTCGGATAAGGCAATTCTGCTTTTTCAGACTAAATCTTTTTAGATCTAACTATTCAAACCTGCTGGCTCTGCTTGCATTACCCAAACTTTAGGGCTGCGAAGTACAAAAATGTGCTTATATAATCTGGAACTTTAGTTTCCGTGTCTCTTTTTCTCATGCAGCCCGTATCAGGCCTGAGGAAGATGCTGATATTTTGGATCTGAAACACAGGCCCTTTGGATCTCCCGTATTCAGGAGTGGCTTGTTGACTTAAATGCCGTAGTTTGGCCTTAAGTTTGAAAATCCTTCTTTGAGAAACCAACTGAGAGAAGAGGATAGGTGTTTCCTGAAGACAACCACCAGAATATTGTGACCATGCATAGATAGTCAGAGACTGTTGTTGGGCAGACCGGTAAAGTGTGTTGCCTAGAAAACTTTGCAGAAGCACTCTGGACAGGGGAAAGGCTTTCATTCACTGTCTCTAGATGGCTTGCAGAAAAGAAATAAAAGAATGAGGAGAAGGATCAGATAAAAATCAAGGGCCAAGCGGCTGCCTCTGTGAGCTTTCCCCTGGATTCCTGTGATCAATATGGAGCATTCTCTCCTCCTTCCCTCTGAAGTGCATCAAAGTGGGGTTGGTTTCATCGTATTCTGTAATGAGTCAAGGGTTACCAACCTTTGGGTATGGGCGGGGAGAGGATGCACTGACATGGCTGTACTTTGTGTGCATGAAAATACAGAACTAGAAAGGTTCTCCTGGTTCATCAGGCCGGGTCCCTGCTACTAGAAAGCCAAGCCTTACTCCTCTTATAAACTGAGGCAGCTCTGCTCTAGAACGAGGTGGTGGTTTCTCTTCCAAGAATTTACTAGGAATGTGTTCCAGAATCAAATTCCCTGGCGGAAAAATGTCACCTTCTAATTTCCACCTTTAATCTATTCTTGAACAATTTATACTGATTTTTATCCTTGTGAAAAAGGTTATTCTTTACTTCAAGCAGCTTTTCTCCCTGTCTAGCATATAATGCCATGGTATGTTTATACCTATCTCCTGTACCTTCCTCCCCTCAATCTTGGTTTTGTTAGAAGGATGGCACTGATTTGGATTTTTCTGGAGCTGAGCTCAGTAAAGCTGTCTACCTGCTGTGATGTCTTGGTGAATGAACTTTTGCATTCTTAGAGTGGGGGCTTTGAGCGGTACTGACAAATCTGTGGTGATGGATGCTCCTGAGCGAGTCTCGGGAGCATTCTGCCAAGCCTGCTTCCCGGGTGTTTTCCAGCTCCGCTGTCTCGGGACTCCTTGCCATTTGCCTGGTTTGAAGCTTTGGCCGAGATCTGTTAAGGGAGGAGGACCTAAGTGGAACTGGCGTTGCTCAGGCCTGGAAAACCTACTGCTGCTTCTTTTACTGTGACTTCTCTTACAGATGCGTGCCAGCAACATAATCCTGTCTGAACTGGAGTGAGCAGCTGTGGGAGATTATAACTTGTGTAGCCGCTCGCAACTAGCGGCAGGTAGAAGTGGTTGAAAGCAAGAGTGGAGTGATCCATGTAAATATTCATGTGTTTGTAATTAAGATAAACTAATAAGCCTTGATGTAGCCTTTTATAGACAGTGTTTTCTTTTTTTCCCCCGCTCTGCCTTTATAGTAAGAAAGATCTCTAACAAAACGTTTGGAACTGAAAATAAAAAGTTAGTCCGTATTTTCCTGCCAAAGGTATTACCAAATCTCGTGGTTGAATAGCAACCAACTACTGAAAGGGCCTAGTCTTGTGCACGGTAGAGGCTCTGCCATTTGTTTTAAATGCCGTATTTCAGCCTTTGTATCCTTTTACAAAGCTGCGAAACAGTGACGAATGGGAAAAGGGGAGACAGCTCTGCACTAGCAAGGAACGTGTGGAAATAATATCACACGTTTGCATTTGGTACTTTTGCTACAGTAACCTGGTAGGTCTCCAAGTGCATGATTTCACCCTGAGCAGAGCCTTTTCCGAGTTGGAAGGGATATATGATAGTTTTTTCACTCTGGCGATTACTAACTTATCCCTTCCGTTCTAAATCTCAGTCACAACAAACTACAACTTTTGTGCGGCCAGAAGTGCTGCAGCAACAGCGTGGAACTCTGCCTGAGCTGTAAAACAGACCCAAAAAGCTGGGGAGGTGCTCAGTCCTTAATTGTCTCTTCTGCCCTGTCTGTGTTTCTAGTGTCATCTGAGATAGCAAGGCTTCGCTTTGGTTTTCCTGTGCAAGCTGCAGTGTAGATGCGTCCTTAAATGGCTCTGAAATAAATAAGGTTCATTCTCTGTTAGAGTAATCGTTATCTTATTAGAGCAGTTCTGTTGCACAACGTAAGCATGTGTGCCATGGTGTTAGGACTGTGCATCTGTATTGCCATAGTGAATGGAAAAACAACTCTAGCAGGTTCCGAGGAGCAGTGTATTAGGTGAGGACAAGTCTTACAGCAGATCTTCCTGTGGCCATGCAAGAAAACGATCAAGCAACCAGATCTTCTTTTATGGATAAGCATTAATTTTCTCCAGATTGTCTGGCAAGAAGAGTTATTGTAATGAGAAGATATAACTGTTTATCTAATATTGTTCCTTTGCAGCCTGCCTTGTTTTTTGTCTGAGTCTAGATTCACCTCGGTCATTGGCCACTGTTAGTGTAAGGAATAAGGCAGCGGGGATTGATGTTTTGCATCTCTCGGACGGCCCTGGAAACCAGTCTACCAGCTAAAATGAGTTTTTGAATTATTTCGCCCCCACAGCAATTGTTGCCTGACTAATCTCATGGCCCTCAAGTTACAGTTAAGCAGCAACATTTCTGTGCTACAGTGTTGGAGACTAAGAGCCTGTTTCACAGAGCACGCAATTCGTCTGTATGCACAGGGTCAGCGTGAGGTCTAAGCCCTGTTTAAGACCTATTTAAGCTCCTTGGGCTTAACTGCTGTGTAGATTGCTGCTTTACAGGAGTGAGGGAGTTTGACATGGTTAGAAGAGCAGGTAGTTCTTTTTTTTTCCGCTTTGTTTTACTCTGCGGGGAATTTTATTTCAGGAAGGGAGATAATGACCTGGTGCAGTCTGGGAAACTTGAGTTTGAATTTTGACAGGTATTCCTTTTGGACATGAATCACTTAAGACTCAGAATTACACTGCCAAAATAAGTGGCTTTTTTTATAGATCTCTGTGGGGTTGTGAACACCGTCTACCTCTCTTTAGCAGTTTTCCCCTATTGAGAAGGGAATAATGTGTATTTGTAAATGTGGTAGTTTTCGTTGCCGGGCTGGCCTGAAGGTTCCTGGTAGTCTCTGACGTTTTGAGGAATCTGAGAGGCACAATAATGTAAAACTTGGGCACTCATTGCCAATATTTTCTAGTTTATTAACACAAACTTGTTGATAATTAAATGGTTTCCTGACTTTTTGTTGCTCTGGAAAGAATTCTTCGTGTTTAGATAGTGGTTAGAGAGATCTAATTCTTGAGTTGTTTCTCAGGTTTGGCAACAGAGCAGTATGGGGCTTTTTGGTGTTTTGTTTTCATTGTTTGTTTGCCTAGTTTAAACATGAGAAACTCTGAAAAGTTTATGTGGTTCTCCTAGGCTGCAAATAAAATGTTATCGCTAGTACCGCATGCTTCATTCCAGGATTTGCTTACTACAGTAATTTTCAGTGTATGCTGGGGAAATCGTGTTAGTGGATGGGTGCATACAATAAAACTGGGCTGGTTTGCTTCCTTTCAGTTTTGGGGGGAATCTACTCCAGTAAGTATGGAAGCTGTTCAGAGGCTGCAGGGACTTGCAGGAAGCCAGGGAATTACCTTGGCGTTTTTTCCCTCTTCACCGTTGTGTATCTGTTCCCTTTCATTTTGATGACAGGATGTGTGTAAATGTCACTATCTTCATTCTGTGTATGTGTTCATTTGCACCCCGTGATGGATTGCAGGGACCCTCATGATGGCTGTTCTTAAATATGGGGCATGGAGGACTAAACTGTTCAGCTTTCTGAGTCTGTAATGTCTCGTTCCGTGCTTCAGGGTGGGAGGAGCACTTGCAAGGATCGGTTCTCTGCTTAGAAATATACTTAGTTAAAGTAGTGATATGTTTAGAAGCATGCAGACATCTGAGGAATACGCTGATGTGGAAGACAGATGATCATAACTGCTCCGTAGAAGTATTAGTCATCTTTATTTTTCATAGTGATAAGTGTGCCACTGCTTTTCATCCCTGTTGGATTTATATTTTAAAGCAATAGCATCTACACAGCCTGAGCAAAATGGGGCCGTGTTTATTTTTTGAATGGCAAAGCAAAATGGGGTTTTGGTTTTAAGGTCTCTGTTTAAAGTTTGTTACAAAAAGTTATTTAATGGAAAAGTAACCTACAGAATGTATTTCCTAATGTACAGACCTGATGAGTTAACAGGCTGCGCTCTCAAATGCAGGTTTTCTTCTCTTCCAGGTAATTGAGAATGGGCCCTCAACGATGCTAAGTCTACAATGGGAAGTGTCACACTTCGTTATTTCTGCTATGGGTGCCTTTTCACATCGGTGACCTGGACACTTCTGCTCTTTGTTTATTTCAACTTCAGTGAAGAGACCCAATCTTTCAAGAATGTGCCCGTCAAGGGGCTAGAACCTCAGAGGCCGTTTCCAAAAAAATTCTTTCCCCGTTTTACCCGGGGGCCAGTTCGTATGCCTGCATTGCAACGGAGAAAGAGCAAGATAGGAAATCCTTTTGGAAATCATGTCCAGGACCCAGTGAAGGGGGAGGTAGATTTTTCTCCTGAAATGGGTAAGTGGTTTTCATTGTTGGTGACAACAACTTAGTATTTCATTTCTTCTTTTGATTTAATAAGGTTTTTTTTTTTTTTTTAAAGGGGCTTAGGGAAAATTGTATAATGAAATCTTTTTGTTTGTTAAGATGCAGGTGGTACTAGTAGTTCTCTTCATTATGTATTACTTGAAATTTATTCTGCTATGTTTAGTTTTCGTTCAGAATATACTATTACTAAGAGATGCAGCTTTGCTGCGGAAGTGCTAAAGAGGAGGACTGAACTGCGGTAGAATGTTTGCCTTTAATTCTTGCCTTTGGAAGGTTCAGTGTATTCTTGTTTCAGATCTTACTCTTAGATTGGGTTCAATACATAAGCTTTCATTAGCCATAGAGAAACTGTTCATATGCAATAATTAAAAAGATCTTAATAGCAATACACAATGAAGGGGACTCACTGATGTGGAGAACATCCTTGGAGTATGAAATCATCTGCAAAAAAAGTCTGGGACAAAACTACAATGAAAGGTTTATTGAGATGAAGGTTTATTGGCCAAAGCCTGCTTGCTTTGTACCAGCAAGTAGGTATGTGGATTTTTTGGGAACATATTTCATGAATGAGGTGATTTAGGTTTGTCCTCAACTACTAACTAAAATTCTTTGTATATTTAGCTGCTTACAGCTTAATGTTCTCTGCTATGTTTGAATATGCGAAGTGAGGCATTTGGCATATTGACCTGCAAACTTGCTGGAAGTCTCGGGTAGATATTGTGTGTTCTGAGTATTGAGTATCGGTATCTGCTGCTTCTTTGGGAATTATGATACAGTACCCTTTGGAGCCAGGAGTTTAATAGTCACATAGCTGACTAAGGTCCTCTGTCCTTGCTTTGGACGGATGCTAGATCCCCAGCTTCAAGCGTTTATAGAACTTTACCACTCCTCAGCCTCCAAGTTGGTCATTAGACCTGCGTGACTGAATATATGGAAAAACATTCTTCAAAACAAAAATGCTGGTTTGCATTGCCCTATGGGATGACGAATGTTTACCGATTTGCTGCAAAACCTATGGGAGCCAAGTGAAGCGAAAGCCAGTGCAGAGGTGACTGTTACTTTCCAACTATTCATTACTGGCCAGGAAAGAGTTCGGAGATTTTAGCTGAGAAGTCCCTTGATCTTCAAGCAGAGTGACTTGTTTGGTTCCTGAAAGCCAAGTGGGATTATGGTGCCAGGATAAATTCTAAATGAATCACTGGGAGACAGCTGGGTCTCTGTTAGAATTAGATTTGGTGCTGCAGGAAAGGGATTCCTGTCTATCTGTGGTAAGATTGGGGGAGGGGAAGTTGGTATTAGGTTGGAAGTTGCTAGGTTAATCTATCTTTTTTTCCTTAAAAGTTTATGAAATCCACAGTATGCTGCTGAAGTAAAGCCCAAGTTGATGTTTCTCCTGCAAACCTTATCTTTCAAGGGGTTAGATCTGCTGTGTGGACTGAAGTCTTTCAGGCCTTTTGCATACACTTTTTTTTTTTTAAATTCTCATGAAGAGCAATGAAGTAGCATTATTTCTTATCTGTATTCAGAAGATCAGAAAAAAGTAGCTAGTGGTTGGGTATGGATGGATTATAGCACAACATGTGGCACAGTGTTGCTGTGATGCCGAGTATGCAAGAATGATAGAGTTGGGTGTTAGAACAGACAAGCTGGAAACGTTTCTTTGGCAATGTGTGTAGTTCAAAGGAGTGACTGACTTTTATCCCTTTAGAGGCCGCTGATGCCTGAAGAGAGGCACTGACCCTTGTGACTGGACTTTGTTCCTACTCCCTGTGATGCAACTTTCCCATAGTGGGAGCGATCATCTGTGAGATTAATAGCATCAGTCACCACAGGACAGGCCGCGTGTATCGCACACAAATGTAAGGCATCTACCCTTGAGGTATTTGTCAGTGCAGTGCACTGTCACGGCTGCGCTTAAGACTAAAAGTGCCAGCATAGTAATTGCAAATGGTGGGAATCTGGATGCACAGAATTCCTTCCGGAAGGTCTTCCCGTTGCTGCTACATGTAGACGTTGCTGCAGTAACACAACAGAACTTGGTTCTGCTCAGTGTTTTCTGTTTTTCCCCCATTTGCTCTGGATTTGAGCTCAGCTGGCTTTTACATAATTCTCCTCAGACCTAATGTTCTCCAGTTTTGGAGGGTGAGAGAATTGGTTTTATTCAACCTTAGTGGAGGCAGCTAAGAGTTGAGATCTTACTGCAGTCAACAAGTACCTAATAGGAGTCTGTAGAGAAGATGGACTGAGGCTCTTTCTGGAGGTGCATGACGTTAGGACAAGAAGTTGAAACACAGGAAACTTCATTTAGATAAAAGGAAAAGCATTTTCAATGTGTTAGTGGTCAAATACTTCGATAGGATCCCCAAGAGCTGGCAGAATCTCAATTCTTAGAGATACTGGAGGTAAGCAAAACTTACCTGGATAGGTTCTGAGCAGCCTGATCTAGTTGGACCCGCTTCAAGCAGGCGATTGGACTAGATGCCCTCCAGAGGTCCCTTCCAACCTATATTATTCTGTGATTCTATGAAACATTATCCTGGATGTGTGCAAGCAAGTGGATGAGGGACTCCCTTGCTGATAGCTTGCTTCAGATCTTGAACCATATGAGTATGATGGTCAGGGTGGAGAGAGATAGATTACACGAGTCTTGATCACTTCTTGTACTAAAATTTAGTGAAATGGCCTCTAGCTCGGTAATAGCTGTTAGCAGACGTTCACATTTCGTTCTGTGCAGCCATTTGGAGACAATACAATACTACTCTGCTTCCTTAATTGTTGCAGAAGTGTCTAGGAGATAGGAGGAAGTAAGGAAAGCACATCTTTCTGTGCTCTCTTACCACTTCCTCCCCTTTTCTGTAAGAGTTCAGTGCACTGTAATATTTTGCTTTTCTCCATCTTGGTAAGCATATGGTTGGGCGAGAGAGAAGCTTATGGCGCCAAGCCAAGGCAGGCAGGGTGACATTCAGGATTTCACCTTTGCCACTAACAGGGTACGTACTTATGCTGACGATTGCTGCGTCTGATGTGCTCAGCAACGGTTGATGCTTCTGCTAGAATAACGAAGAAATAGCTAGCTCTCTTGCTATTTAGCTTGCTGTCCAAGTCCGAGATGAGATAAATAAGTTCACAATTCTTTCATAGCTATATTTACATTACTGCAGACCTCAAGAAAACTATGTGAAATTGCAGCCATTATTCTAAGGATTTTTTCTACCATTGTCTGTCTTTTTTTTTTTTTTCCTTTTTTTCTTTCTTGAAAAATCTACTTCTAGACCCTCCATCTGGGTATGGATAGCAGCTGATGTATTGTGTGGCCAAAGTCTATCCTCTGTTGCTTGTTTGATGTGGGTTTTTTGGCAGTGGTGAGAATAAGAGGTCATTTAAGAGAAAGGAATGTGTCTGGTAAGGTAATAAACACAATAGAGCCATCAGTCTTGGGAGAATAATTTCATTTTATTACAGCTGCAAGGACTACTCATAAATAGTTGGACAAGAATGCACTTTGCAAAACCAGAGGCTAAAGAGACTTCTGAAGATGATGGGTTTTAGAGGACGTCAGAGCCTATTTTGAATCCTTGATTGTTTCCAAAGGATATTTTTGAGCCTGTAAACTGATCTTAGCATGTTTTTGTTGCAGGGATGATTTTTAATGAAGAAGATCAGGAGGTGAGAGACTTGGGCTATCAGAAACATGCCTTCAATATGCTTATCAGTAACCGGCTGGGATACCACAGGGAGGTACCTGATACAAGAGATGCAAAGTATGTACTTAATTTTTTGAAGAAAACGTGGTATAATTGTATGTGCTTAAGGGCTTGTTAAGCACATACTGATTTAGTTAGTAACATTTTTGGTATTACTTTTGTGGTAGATACTCTTTATACTGTGCCACTGAAGGCAGACTTCCAGCCGTTTAAGCCAGAGTGCTTAGGGCTAGGATTTTTATTCTTTGAACTTCTTGGGGGAGGTGGTGGTGGTGGGGGTGTTGTGGTGGTGGTGTTTTAACGTGAATATTGCTCTGGAGACTTAATTTTATGCAAACTGGAAAGGGAGTGTGATTGGTAAAGCCCTCAGAAAACAGATTACATGAAAACAGATGGCTACTCCCCAAAGGCAAAGTTTATTCATCTGTGAAATTTAAGGTAAATTAAAACATATAGCTATTGTATTTTTAGTTTTAGAGCTTACTGTGCTGTCAAAAGTGCCTGTATGGTAGAATCTTACTAGTTGGAAGGTGAATAAGCAGAATAGGTAAAACAAAAATGGTTTGTATTTTGAAAGGTGCTAGATGAAGCAACTTGATATGTCTTACTAAAAAGAAATCCAGGGAGACGTTTGGGATTTTCAAATTTAGAAATATGATACTAAAGCAAACTAACTTCTGGCTGACTGACAGTGAAAGAAATCTTCATGCTGATTATTGTATCTGTATATGAAACTAATGGGAACTAATGAGATTGATTCAGTGTAGTTAGTATATGAATTCACCCTAGAGTGTTATCAGGAGGCTCTTTTAAGCTAGGACAGGAATTTTTTTAAGGAGGAAGTTGGAAGAGAGATTTGCTTGGGGAGCAGATCTTCACAAAGAAGCTTGCAGAGTGTGTAGCTGTAGGTGATTCTTGTATTTGTTGCTGTTAACTTTATACATTTATTTGTGATTATGATGGGGAGACAAACATCAGGTTATCTGTAATTCCTAGTAACAGACTTGTGTTCAGATGGGAGAGTAATAGCATCTACTATTTATTCTCCTGAATTGCAAAACAAAATTAGTAACTTGGAAAACGCTAGGGATTATTCTCTTTTTCCTTCCCTGTTTTCACTCATCCCCACTGACACCGTTTCACAGCCTTAAGCAAGAGTCCAAAATTTTTTTTTTCTCGTGATTCTCGAGTGTCTTCAAGAATGCTTAAGGGAAAACTGATTAGATATACACACTTATTCAAGTTTTCATCCAATGTATTTAACTTTTGTGAGTAGTAGGATTCAGACAGCTATTTTCACAGAAGCAGGGTTCCAACAAAATATTTTAAATAAAAGTCAATATGAAAAGTCCTAAGAAGCAAGCTTTCTGTCTGGCAAGACTAGGATTACATGTCCTTTGTGTCTTTCACCTTGCTAGCTGGGTACTCTGTTACTTTAAGTATTCTACAACATTTTTAGTTTCGAAGCTTCATTTTGAGATACTAAGCACTGTAATTACCAGAAAACATGCTATACTCCTCGTTAGGTTATGTGATTAAAAAACTTAGCTGCACTCTCACAAAGGAGCACAGAAACAGTGGCATGTGGGGGAACCTAAATAATACCCTGCCCCGGCTCCTCCCGAGGCTGTCACAGGGGAGTTATCAGCCCCCGGTGGGCCAGGTGTGAAACCCACTAAGATGAGTTAATGGGAGCAGCTCTCCAGTATCACCTTTTGAACTGAAAGGAGGTTACTGCCTAGGTGGATGAGACAGTGTGGGATACAGGGGAAGAGCATTTTGGCATTGCACAAGACTTACAGGATGTTCAGGGTGGGAACCAAAGGGAGGGACCAAGATGAGATGTTTAGGGGAGGGAAAAAGTAGGAAAATAGAGGGATAGGAGGATAAAAGGCACCAGTTATTTGTAAATAGGTTACTGGTTAAGTATGTCTCGCTGTGCCTGGCCAGTGCAGTCTGTCCTATCTTCTTACTAAATTTTATTTCTGTTTTCCAGGTTGAGGGACACTACTCTGTGTGGGGGTGTGTGTGTGTAGATCTAAGTACCAGTGACTGGAGCTAGACCATGAGTCACAGGAGCCCATGTGTCTGTGATACCAGCAAGTGGAGTGAGTGAGGGAATGCTTGTTGGAGTGTGATCGCTACCAGATGTCAAGCTGGACTAGCCAGCAAGTAGGTGAAGTGGCCGTGGGGCCAGGTATGTGTGTGTTTATTTGAGACAACAGGAGGAGTTGGCTACTGGAGGGAGCAGGGGAGTCTTGGCAAACTGTTGGAGAGACAGTCACGTCTGGTCTTCTGAGACCCATTTGTGTCACCCCTCCAGCCACACTCACACCTGAAGGAGCTGATGACCACAGGGACCGGGGGGTCCTGGCCAGCAGCCAGAGATCGTAGGATCTGTGGGTTGATTTGCCTCAGTGTGTGTCTCTGGGAGCAAGGCACCTAGGGAGAGCAAGGATCCAGACCGGCTACTTAAAAACCTGCATCTATTCTTCTAGTGGTTGCTCTGCTGTGGGTAAATGTAATGAATTGTACTTGCTGAAATGTCTTCCACAAAAGCTGAGCTCATTTCAATTCAGTGAAGACTTCTTCTTGTATACTTCTGAGTTTTCATTTGTTACATTTTGTATTTGTATTGGATCCCTTCATGCCTGGCATCTGACTCTAAATGGCATTTATTTGTGATACTGTAGCCTATTAGATTGTGTGGGCAAAATCTGAAGATCAGCAGAAAGAAAGCTTTTCTGCTTTGAATGGGATTCAACTTTCAAATTAAGATGCTTAAATTTAGATAGCTGCATGCTAGTCAGTCGTCTCTTCTTATTAGAATTAGCAGAGATCCAGTCAACACTGCATCTATTACTGGTAGTAACTGCTGGAGTATGCAGAGCTCTTCTGCTGACAAAATGCCCTTCTCTGCCTTAGGTGAGTTGAACAGTCTACACTCCGCTGACAGTATTGACTAGATTTAAGTGTCTTAATTTGCAGCCTGAATCCCACCCAACCTTGGCTGTCTAAACAGGCATATAGCACCATTTGAGATGTTCTGGGAGCCTGGCTGCAGCAGCTGGCCAATAAAGATGTGGGTTTTTTTGTAAGGCTTATGTCATATTTACCGTTCTTATACGTGTCTGACCCCCAACATTATTAGACACTGTATTTTCACAGTTGAAACAAGCCCTTACCATCTACTTTTGCTCATGTCTTAAAGACAACCCCCCCCCCCCCCCAGGTCCATAGTATTTTGTTTCCTGATGTGTAGCAATAGCCCACAGCTATTAAAAGTCTGTATCATGTGGAGGGTAACTTAGTATACTGAGTCCCAGTATAGAGGTTATCCTCCTGGACTCTTTACATTCCAGTTAAGGGTTCTTCCTACACATTTCATGTTTGTTTTTTTGTGAAGTTTTAGCAGTGATACAGTCATATGGAAACGTCACTAGAAATAGTGATAAATGCTGTTTTTGTTTTTCCAGATGTAGAGAGAAGTCCTACCCTTCTGATCTACCATTTGCCAGCGTTATTATCTGTTTCTACAATGAAGCACTTTCTGCCCTGCTTCGCACAGTACACAGTGTCCTGGATCGCACCCCTGCATACCTTCTTCATGAAATTATTTTGGTGGATGACAACAGTGAATTGGGTGAGCAACTGTTTCAGTAGTAGTTTGGTCACTACTTCCACTGACTCTTAGCTTGCCCGTCTCTTCTTTATGAGCTGATCCAAATAAAAATGTAGATGCCCTGGTGCAAAACTAATTTATATTGCGGTCCGTATCTGAAATGTGCCGGTATAGATGTCCGTCATGCCAGCGTGATGTTCTGAGAAGTGCAGAATAACCTTCTGGTGGGTACTGATGCCAATTTTACTCATGAATTTTGTATCATATAGGCATGAACATTCAAAAACAGATTTTGAAGCTCCCATTAAGGGATTGGGGGAATGATTAAGCAGTTGTTGATTGCTCAGCTGATTTCAACAGTGTAGCGGTATGAAGCAAATCTTGCTGGGCTACTCTGGTGCTCAGAGCAGATTACATAGATTTTTTTACTATAAATTTTGTAGGCCAAGACTTCCTGTGAACGCCTCTGAAAGGACTTGCATGCCGAGCTGCAAGTCGATGAAAATAAGTCGATGTGGCGCTATGGAAAGGGTGTGCCAGGTCTTTGTACTTGCTAAGCATTTCAGGATGGTGGCGTGCTGGGATCAGAGCTCAGCCTTTGCTGCAAGGGCTTTGCCTGGCTCTTGTACAGCCTCTTGTGGCCACCCTGGGAGTAGCTCTCGCTGTTTTGGAGGAGCAGCCCCTACTCCACCATCTGGGAGAGGCCCCTGGAGGGCGGTGTCTTGGATGATGCACGAGGCAAAGACAGACATGTAATTCAAGCCTTTTGGCACTTGAAAAGTTAAATGTCTGTTGAGGAATGTGTTCGTGTAGTAGTTCTTGCAGGCAGGGCTGTGCGAGTCCCCTGCTTGCCTGTATTTTCTGTGTTTTCTGCCACAATTTTCTGTGTTTTTGAGTTGTTGTTTTTTTTTTTTTTTAGTTAATATAATTAATTCCCTTGGTCTCATAATTTGTTTTCTGGGTTAAGGTCTCACTTTCTCTTTGAGACTGACTAGATATGTGTAACACAGAATGAAATTCTCGTGTCATCACGCAACTGGTTTATTTCTGTGAGATCGGGTCAAGATCGAATGTTAAGATCGGGAGAGAGCAAAGATCAAATACTGTCCCTTGCTGATAAGCGTGCATATGCAATATTTAAAAGCATTTTTCATCCTTCTGTTGCTTTGGAAGCAACATGCACCCCTTGCTACAAATTCCCTTGTGCAAGTTGCTTTCAAGTTCATAACCTTCACATTCAGAGTTAATATTATGTCAAAACTCAGTCTTTCAATATGGTGGTACATTTGATTAGCATACTGTGTTTAGGCAGCAATGCCACTGCTGTTCTGAACTGTTGGTATCTCAAAGGCCAAATTAATCTCGAAGTCTTCAAGTGGCTACTCTTGCATTTCTGACTTCAGATAAACATGGTTTGAAGCCCAGGATGGGAGCAGATGCTCTTTATAGAAAGAAATCCTGCTCTCGATGTTGAAACAACTGATGTTTTCCCTGCTGCTTAGTTTTAGCTGATGGAATTTTATAGCTGAAATTAAGCAAACCTGGTATGGTGACTGGGTAAATGGACCAAGACTTGTCTTTGACTCTGCCACGGATGGCATACGTGAGCCGGGGTGAATTGCTTAATCTCTCTGGCTCTTTGATCTTTATTTATTTTCCTTGAAATATGTATTTATTTGGTACTGTTTCATCTGAGATATCAGCTCTGGAAATTCTGTTCATCTGTCCTTCTATACCAAGGTTCTCTAGAAGATCTCAACTGACTTGCTGTTTTTCTTCTTCGGTTTATATTCTTTTCTATTTCTCCATAAGCTTAATAACTTGTAGTTCTCCATTACTTCAGTCTTCATCTGTCCCTCTTCTCCTCAATGGTAAAAGCTTGCTGCCTACTTTAATGTTGGAAGCTACTGTCTTCAGGGGAGGGGGGTATTGTTATAGTTGCCATTAATATTATTTAATTATTTAGGATTTAATGATCTTTACTGTCTTTCAAAAGCACATGCTTGCCAGGAGTGTCTTTGATCATTCTGGGTTTTAGAAAGCAACCACCTATGAGTAAGTTGTAATTCTGTTTCTGCTGTTGGACATCGTTATTTTGCAAACCTAGACTTTTACCAACTAGGCAGGTGCAGATAATGAAAGATGTCCTCATGCTGCTTTTTAAAGTTGTCAGGATTTGCTCTAGTGTGTGGAACACTAGTGATTTGATTTACTTGTCTTTGTGAAAAGGCTTTTATTAATTTTGCTACAAATGTCAGACTGCTGACTCCATGCAGTGTGAGGTGTTTTTTTATATTTTTTTAGCAGCAGTCATTCCTGTTAGCATAGACTTTCAGTTAAAACTTCGGACATTGTATTAAAGTTTTTTTGGTTTTGTTGGATTGATGGGTTGTGTGTTTTCCGCTTTTTTTGCAAAGAGCGGGGGAAAAAAAAAATACAGGCTGTATTTAAGTAAACCAAGACTGAATATAAAGCTAGAGGCCCAAGGCAGTGGGAGAGCATAGTCAAGTTGGATGGGAAAATACAAGGAAATACATATCGGTAGAATGGGTGCTCTGGAAGGCCAATATATGGTCTGTCATCCTTTCCCGTGCAGGATATGTGCCTGCTTTGTGCATATGGGTTCCCACTGCAGAGGGGATAAGTGTTGCGGTTGATAGAATAATGGGAGTATAAGACAACAAAAATGGGCAGGTGAAGTGGAGAGCAGATGTAAGCTGTGGAATGACGAACTTTTTGGTAAATTTGGTTCGAAGCCATACTGTATTGGGGACCGTTTTCTGGTAGAGGTCTTTGGCCCACTTTGAGTTGTACATCTGGGGACTTTAATCAAAGCAAGGCTCTCGCAAAGCTTGCATCCAGTTGTTCGATGTGTTCTCCTTTTCGCAGCTGACTTGAAGAAAGACCTGAGTGAATATGTTAAAACTCACCTTCCAAAAACCACGAAGTTGGTAAGAAATGAAAAGCGGGAGGGCTTGATTCGAGGAAGGATGATTGGAGCCTCTCATGCTACAGGTATGCCTTCTTCTTTCTCCTCTCCTTGCATGCTTTGACCATGTATAATTGGGTGACTTCCCCTCCTGTAGTGCAGCCCTTCCAGATGTTGAATATTTAACGTATGTGATGGCTTTAGCCCACGTGGGGGGGGGGGGGAGAGGTTGCGCTCTGTTCCAAGCGACACTATTTAAAGCAGGGGAAAGAAGATTTTTGGGTAGTGGTAATTTAAGTGAAAGATATTTGAATGCTTGTTTCAAGATGTCAGTGACTACGTTACCTGCATCTTTCTTTGCCTGTCCTTATGTTAAACTATGTTGCAACAGCTAAACAAAGTGTATTCAGTAGCACCTGTGTGGTGATGACTGCAGACCTTAACCAACGCTACCTGTGTATTTGAATGTTTACGTCGTGCTATTGGCTATGATCTATATGAAACCTGTGGCATTATGTCATGGCTTTACTGAATTATCCCTCACCGGAGGCTTTTGTGTTACCCACTTAATGAGATGGAAACAAGGAGGACTTGGTTCTTGCTTATATGTAAATATAGAATAGATGCAATGAATTCAATGGTTTTATAGGTTGTAACTAAACTTAAAAATTTTCTTCTGAAGTTCACCAAACACTGACTTGGCAAATTTAAAAGATTTGCTCAAATTGGGCTCCAAACCTTATCTGAAACACTGATTTGTCTTGTTTTTACTTCCTCTGTAAGATTGCTTTTGATTTAAAAAAAAAAAAAAAATTAGAATGGGTCAGTGAAATAGTAAAACAAAAACAATATTTGATAAATTTAGTAGTGCGGAGTAGAATTTTTCTTATTCTAGCTCTGAAGGAACGTTGTCTCAAACATCTCCTTGTAAGCCAGATACTGTGTTTGCAGAATACTCTTTCATGTGGAAGCTATTGCTTTAGAATGGCAATCTGCTTCCTTGTAAAGGTTTAGCAAACTTTAAACTGGCTCCTAATTCACCCATCTCATTGAAATGTTTCTCCTGCAAGGTTTCCTGTTATTACACTGAGTGTTAATTGGGATAAACTGTGTCTGGGTGCTTTATGTACACTGTTTGCCTTTTACCATAATATACTTCCTAGTTAAATTCTGTGGCATTTGAGGAAGTATGTGCTGCTTTCTCAAATAATTCTTGAGTGGTGGTAAAGTCTCTTAATTTACTCATTGGCATTGTAATGGCATAATTCAGAGAGAAAATTGTGATTGCAGTTCCCAAACTGATAGGACTCATTTGACTTAGTGCAATTCATTTTATTGCTCTTCTGAACTGCTAGAGTCTGATTTTTCTTTCCCCTCATTCAAATACTGTCTGTTGTTAATGGGTAACTCATTATATTTGTGTTTGTATTGTTTTCTATAAAGCTCCTTTCCACCTCTCCCACATGCTTTAAAAAAAAAAAAAAAAAAAAAAAAGAAAAAGTGACTTTAAAATAAGTTTTACAATAAAACTTCAAATGACTTCTTAGACCAGCTCAGCCCGAAGATCTGCCGTGGACCAAACTGTCCTCCCTGACCGTGGCAGATAATCCCGTTAAGCTAACAGGGCTGATTTTTTCAGGACAGAAATGTTGCTTGGCCTAACACTGGATTTTGCTCTGCCGGTTTAGGGTGTTTATTCTCCTTTTAAAATGGTATCAGTCAACAATAACTGTAAAACTAATGAAATAAGTAGGTGTCCTACGTTAGTTCATATTCGGGAATTAAAATGCTGTGGTCTGAGTTCTGAAGGAATACAAATGAATTTATTAGAATGGTTTGGCTTAAAAACCACAGATCTTAGTTGCAAAAGTAACTGGATGGATGCTGAAGCCCAAGGTGATTATAGTCAGTAGATGGAGACAGCTGTGACCTGATTATGACTGTCTGACCCATCTTCCTCATCTTCAGTTCCCTTGGTAGTATTGAATCAGACCTGGGAGGTGCTCTGCATTAGGGCATATGCGCTGCACCGTGGATGTTGGGCTCTGATCTCTGAGCTAATGGTCTGATCATCGTGTTTCGTTTCAAGTACAATAGCTCTGCTGAGTCTGGGTAGAACATTTGATGACTATAAAATCCTGCCAAGGAAATGTAAATAAATGGCTACTTGAGCAATTCACAGTTAAATGTGAATAGCCAGGATTTACCTTCTGCCTTGGTGACTGAACAAATCCCTGAGGAGTCTCTGGTTTGTCAGATCTTCTGAGTGCAGATGGTGTTTCCCTTCTGTTGCACAGCATGGGGAGGCCACTGTCAATACTCTGCTGCTGATACAAACGTGTGTGTTTCTGTGCGTTTCATGTTACCACCAATCTTTGCATTTTGCGTGCTTTGACCACCTTAGGAAAAGTGCTGGTTTTCCTGGACAGTCACTGTGAGGTGAACGAGATGTGGTTGCAACCTTTGCTGACGCCAATCAGAGAAGATCGCAGGACTGTGGTGTGCCCCGTGATTGACATAATCAGTGCTGACACGCTTACCTACAGCTCTTCCCCAGTTGTGCGTGGAGGGTTTAACTGGGGCCTGCACTTCAAATGGGATCTTGTTCCTATGTCAGAATTGGAAGGACCCGAGGGAGCCACAGCTCCTATCAAGTAAGATTCCTCCCGTGTGGTGCAAAGCAGTTGGTCGACTCTGTGTAACATATGGTTGATCAGGAACATTTCTTAAGCTTCAGTTTGATTTCTAGTGTTTAATCTTGGCTTAAATATGTCTCGTTATTAGGTCAAAAAAGCTCCACTTTAGAGAGTGCTTATACAACACCATCTTTTGCCACGTTTTGCTGAAGACAGAAGACTTAAAGGGCTTATGTTACTCTGCACTACATCTGTCCAATTTCATTTTTGAACTGTGCATTGATGTGCATTTCTGTCCAGTCCGTTAATGTTTGGCTTAGTAATGATCATTTGTGTTAACAGTATTTGCTTTACTGATATCTACATATCCCGATATCTACATATCCCTCTAATATGGGCTCTAAAATTTCTATGATGAAGTGCTGATGAATTGCTAGTTTGGAAGAACACATTTTTGTGGTAATAGGAAGGTGATTTCATAGCTGATGGGCGGGAATGTCAGCGCATTTAATAATCTTCTAGGTGAACATCTTTTTTGCTTGTATCATTCTTTTTCAGACAAGCATTTATTTTGTCATAAAGCTTCTAAGTGAACACACATGGATGTGAAAACCATCTTTAAAACGTTTTCTGTGTCTTTGCACAATGTGGCAAATGTCTGAAACTGTCAGGCTGTGGGAAGCCTGTCCTTATTGTTTTTGTGGTCTTGAATTGCTCGAGAGAGTTCTGAAGCAAAAGTCTTGGCGAAACTTAACGCTAGGACTTGAAAGCACCTTCCTTAATCTTCTATCCATTGATAGCTGTTTGACCTGTACAGAGCTGACAATGTCTTGTTCCTGCTGGACATGTAACCCTATTACAAAATGATGCCAGTAGACATATTTATTAGCAATCACATATGGTTCAGACATGAGAACAGAAGCTGTCCCAGTGTGAAACCCTTCTCTGAGACAGGCTAATGTCAGTAGAGCAACGGGAGGGAGCTGACTGTGCTTTTTCTAGTTGCAGGTCTCCATCTCGGTACAGACTTCAGGTTCTGTAAAATGGAAGAGCTTTACTTCTTCGAGACAGACTAACTCCTTGCAGAACGTGGTGCACAGTGAATCAGAAACTGGGTGCTGTGTTGGGGTTTTTTTTTTGTTTGTTTTTTTCCTTTACTCGCTCTGCTGTGGTCTGACAGCTTTGCAGTTAATCTTTCCACATCTCTGCCCATCACAAGATTTGCTCCAAGGAGCCAGGAAACTTCTAAAGTTACTTAACAGTTTGACTGGCTTGTCATTCTGCTTGGACAGTGTCGCTGTGGCTGTTTCTGAAGTCAGAAGGAAAGGACAGACTGGGAACATCTGTAGGGGGAAACAGCATAGAAAAATCTTAAAATCCTAATTCTGTTAAAAGCCTTTGACAAAGTTAATCTGAGGCATGCCTGAAGATTAGTTCTCTCCGTAATCAATGCTGCTGTTGCCATCGTTCAACTCACTTTTAGGAAAAAGTCCTGTGGAAAACCCAGAGAACTCTATGTTTAAAGGGAGTTTCATCATTTAAGATGATTAAATTTTCTGAGTGTGAGAGTGGTTTTCCTACTTAGAGCTCTGCCTGCTTCGAAGCAAAACCTAGTTTGCTGTTTAACCTTTGAGACTGGTTTTCCATCACATGGGAAGTTCTACCTTTTATAGTCTAGAGAACTTCAAAATGAAATGTTTTGGTGTCAGGCCTGGAAAAACAGAGTAACCTTTCAACCCAGATTTTAAGGTGACAAACTGCAGTAGAAAATTGTGCGGGTTCAAACAAGAAAATTTAGACTTAGGCTTAGCTTTATCACAGCTTTTTACTAACAAGAATGAGGAAATGCCCGTTTGCAGCCACTATCATCTGTCATGTTTACAAAGTGTTTTTATTCCCTTCTATAATCTTCTAGGGCATCCCCATACTATAATTTTCCGATTAAACTCCGATTGAGTTTTGGTGATTCAGGAGCAATTTATTGTATGGATTGCAGAATGGGGATCATATACAGATTTTTATAAAATACAGCACCATTCTGGTGATGTACAGGCAGGACAAAAGGCTGGGGAACCCTAAAGAGAACATATGATTCCAGGAATTGTAATTAAGTTTTGAAAAAAAAGGTTTCATCAGTGATGAAACAATGCTGTTCCTGGTACTTGAATTCTATCTATGAGATAGTGGCATTTCCCTTGCCTTTCTGGCTTACGTAGTTTAAATCTGGACCTTGTTTTAAATAACTAAGGAATTATTACTTCGTCTAATTTAGTTTGGGAAGCAATGTGTGCTCTGGGTTCTGCTCTTTCTTCTGGCTGGGTCAGGGCCAGACTCTATAATTTGCCCTCGTAAGAGGGGAAGAAAGTTTTGTGCGCAAATCGGTGCATTTCTGTAGAACTGCTACGTAAAATAAGCAGTGCATCCATACACCTTGGTCTAAGTAGCTGATTAGGTGAGATCTTTCGGTTCTTCAGAGCCAAATACAAACTAATGATCCTAGTGACATGATAAACTTGCTATCCTGTTGCACAATCCAAGTTAGAGCGCTACTCTCCCCCCACACCCTGGGGTATGTTTCTTTTTAGGTTTTTTTTTTTTTTCCCCAAGCTGCTGGAGAAATTAGATCTCTTTATCAGACGCCAATTAAAAGAAGCTTCTAAGTTTCATAGTAGAAGACTCTTTTTTTTTTTTTTTTGAGTAAAAAGAGGCAGCCACTTTATTTCTCTTCCTGACCCATCTCTCTGTCTCAATTTTAATTGGCTTATTTCTTTTATTCAAAAAAATATGCTGTATGGGTGAGGGAATAATGAAAGATCACAAAAACCACTTACAGGTCTGCTTTTAAAAATGGATGTTGAGATTGTAAAAGTGAGATTTGCTCTTTTTTTTTTTTTTTAATGTCTGCAGGATTGAAACTTTTGCTTGTTCTAAAGCTTACATTTAGACCTACAGAAGATTGAGCTAAGATCAATGTTTTTTGTCCAAAGTAAAGTGAGAACCTCTTTCAATGTTTCTTTTTAGGTCACCTACTATGGCTGGAGGCCTGTTTGCTATGGATCGTGAGTACTTTAATGAACTTGGACAGTATGATAGTGGCATGGACATCTGGGGAGGAGAGAACTTGGAAATATCCTTTCGGGTAATCTAGCTTTTATGTGTATTGGAGTATTAACCTCAGCGCCTGGCTCCTTCAATTCTCTATATACAGCTTCTTTAGCGCTGGAATAGCGCGCGCAGAAACTGGCACACTCATCCCTAGAAAGGATGCCTTCAGCACACAGTAACAGCCTTTACAGTAAAGTTCAAGTTTAAATGGGAAGATTAAAGGGAATTTTGAGTGCCATAGTTAAGTTTGTGGTTTTTCCTTTGTGTGGCTGGGAGTTTTATATATATATATATATGTACATATATATGTGTATATATATGTATATAAAAAGAAGCACAGAAAATACTAGTCATGTAAACTTCTGAAATGAGTTTATAAGAATTATCTAATGAATTTCACAAAACAGTTGAAAAGCAGACGTACGGCTCACAGCAGCTATGACTGTAAGTGAATTTTATTGTTTCCTTAGGCATGTGTGGGGCATTTCAGACGCACTAGGCTGTTTTGAGGGCTTGGAAATGTAATTTTTGATAAGTAGATAGAGAAGAAGCATGTAGAAGAGTCAACTTGGATGGAAGAAGAAAGAGAAAATGGTCAATAGGTGATTCTAAAGTCATGCTTCTTTGAGGTTGCTATATTTTTATCTCCCCCTCACTGTAGCTCCCTGGAAAGAAAAGCAAAACTTCATGTTCAATGTCATGTTTACATCTTCAGTTTTGTGAAGTTGATTCATCAATAGATTTGACAAGCTTGCCCAAAAATGAGATGCATCTCACTTGCGTGTATGTCAGAGAAGGTTAAAAGTTGCAGTTAAATTTTTTTCAGAGAAATCTATTGTCTAATCAAGTCATTAGAGATAACAAGAATAGAGATCAAAAATAAGAATAGAGACTTCATAAATTGGAGTGACTTTAAAGGAGTGTGTACTAAATAATAAAATTCCCAAGTTTTCAGTAAGAAAATGTAATCATTAGATGTACAGATAGGAAAGCAGGCAGTAGAGACAGATTTTTGTTGTTGCCAAGTTTTGATGATAAGCCTTTGAACAATTGGGCTATGTTCAGAGAAACTGAGAGCTCTTGGAAGGCCTGTCTCCTTGGGGGAGAGCTCTTAAGAAGTTCAGTCTATTTATCTCCTCCTGGAGGAGGTTTAAGAGTGACTTGATTATAAACTGCTTATGTGAGAAGATTTCCTTTTTGAGATTAGAGAACACATTAATCCAACGATGGTCCAACGACCAATTTGCTGGAAGCTGAAGTTTTTAAAAGAAAAACATAAGTAGTAAATAGAAGTAAAGTATACATGAAATAGTTTGGGATGCAGCAGAGCTTGATTAAGACAGCTAAAGGTAGTGTCTGAATGTGAGCGATGTTTCTGAGTTTACATATAGTCAATAGAAACAAACTACTGTGTAAAATAGGTACTTATACCTAGCTGAAGATCTTTCTACCCTCCATTGATGGTGTTGACTCATCTTCGTTATGAGTTGTGGAAGTGTAGACATGTTACTCTCCTGTAGGCAAATAATTAAGGTGTCTTAATCTGCAAGCTGAATCCCAGGCCACTTATTTCAATGTCTTCCAATAGATCGTTAGAGAATAAGACAGAACTGTATCATGTTTGTGTTTTGTGAAAGGCATTGTGTGTGTTATGTGGAGCGTCTTATGGTATGACCAAAATGGTCTTTTTCTAACTTGAAAATCTAATAATTTCACTTGTCAGAAAGCATGGCATGTAGGACAACAGTGCTGACATCTAATCCCGTCATCACGCATAAAGCTACCTAAGTATCTCTTGAAGAAGGGGAGGAGGTAGTGAGCCTTATCAGTATACCGTACAATGAGGTATGTTCTGCTTTTGTATGGACAGATCTGGATGTGTGGGGGTAGACTTCTGATCATCCCCTGCTCCAGGGTGGGACACATTTTCCGTAAAAGACGCCCCTATGGCTCACCAGGGGGACAGGACACTATGGCTCATAACTCTCTGAGGCTGGCACATGTGTGGATGGATGAATACAAGGTAAGAGGCGTTTCCAGGCCACAAAATGAGGTTATGGACTGACTTGTTTGTCGAGGGTTGTGTTGTGGTGAGGGCTGCTGCCACTTCCTAATAGGAGCTTGCTTCTGTATTCTGATTTCCTAATGTTCATTTTGGTATACATTCCTAAGTTCTGTAGGACGGTGATGTAGCTTCTGAGTACTCAAGTTTACTCCCTGTTACTCCTGCCTTTAGTTTTATTCCTGCTGCTTTCAGGAGGTTCAGACTTGTGCCTTTTTTATGAGGTAAAATATGAAAGAGCTTCTTGTAAGCTCTGTGTTCTTCTCTGTCCATATCAATATTACATGGCAACCTTATACTGCTGTGTGCCTTCAGGTTCCATGTCAGTGAGGTGAGGGCTTTAATTGGTTGTTTGCTTTTTGTTTTAATTAGCAGTCTGATTCTTGGAGTTTGTCATTGAAGGTCAGTGGGGATTGACTTCAGGATTCATGGGCCGCAATGTTCTTTCCCTGTCTTCAGACTTTGGTACCAGTGTTTTTAAATGTAGATTAAGCCTTTCATCAGTTTTTGTGGAACCATCATCTCTCTGTGATACTTCAGGTCATTTTTGCCTTGTGAGACCACAGGGTTTGCTTTGTAGCCAGATCCTATAGTCCCTGCAATTTCTATACAGGACATATATTGCTAACTTTGCATTTCTTAGAAGTTTGTGTTTCAAAACCTGTCCTTTATCTTGATGCTCCCTCAATTTGAGGAACCTATTAGGAATCATTAATTTTATCTCCATTTTCCATCTTCATAATGTGTTTGTAGACTTGATCTAACACTTTCCCTTTATTGGTGTGTGGGCACAGTTGTTTTGTGATTAATGATGGTTTTTTTCTCTGAAGGTTGGAATTGATTCTCTGTTTTCATTTCCAGCTAGTACCACTTTGTCCGACAAGGGTTTAAACTGCTGATTCTAGCAGTCTCTTATCAATTTTGTGCCCTGACCTTTTCCAGCTGTTTCTAATCTAATTCCCTGACAGCTGCCAGAGTCTATCATTATCACAGAAGCTTGGAAGGCAGGTCTGGAGATATTTTCATTCGTATAACTGTAACTCAGATATTAGTGCCAAATGGATATCGTTTACTGAAATGATTGTCTGATAAATAGCACAAAGATAAGACTTAAAAGGCCTGTTGTGCAGCAAAGAATGCATACCAGTATTTAATAAATAAAACTGCACGATGGAAAGGAAACGGCAAAATTTACTTTTTGCTTTTGACACTTATGAACAGGTGCAAGTTCGCATATGCAATTGAAATAATGCTGAGAAGTGAGAATTCTTTTTTAGTTAAAAGTTCAAATTTTAGAATCAGTTGAAGTAGCAGAGCTGTTTTTTGAAGCAGAGCAGTTTCTGATATAGTGATGTCCAGTCTATTTCCAAACTTTCTTGGAATTGTCCAGCATTCCAGTGTATTTAAGGTTTTGCTCTCCTTTATTACTAAATCTCCTTTATTATTGAAATAGCAGTGATGCATCACTCATCAGAATGCTCAAAGATCTCAGCAAGGACAAATGCGTGATCTGTCTTGAGATGACACTGTCTGTCGTTGTCATCTCACACTCGGTGGTATACTCCAACAGGTAATTGAAAACTGTCAGAATAACGTTGCTAGTAAATTCTAGCTGTTGTACAGGTTCGGTCAACAGAATATCATGGCTTAGTGCCCTGACAACTGAATTCAAAATAACGCCTAGTAAATTAGTTAACACACAAATAAAATGCTTTTTTTGTCAACCCCATAAATCTGGCTGAATTCAAGAATCTACAAGGGAATTTTCCTTCTAGTTTCAGACGCCTGCGTTATGTACTTAAGTATTTCCATTTGTCGCTGCTGTGTCTGTTAAAGTTGAGCGGAAGCTGAGATTCAGTCGGAATCTTAACTCATCCTTGCCTGATCCGGTACCGCTCAGGATACAGTCACAAATAAAACATGAGAAATGTTTGTATGAGCCTCTCTGGAGATGATGCAACTGAGTGGAGAGCTTCACGCGAAGCCCTGGTGAAGCTCTTGATCCTTCATGTGCATAGCAATAAATACGTGGTCCCACTGAAGCTGGCAAGACGATCCCACTTATAAGACTATTCTTACATATGATCCTTTTGTCCTAGTTGGTAGCTGTGGGTGAGGAAAAAATACCTTAAAACAACAAAAACAATCAACTGGACAATCAAATTTATTAGCAGAAGCCTTGGCTAAATAAAGATGATGATAAACCCATCTGCATCTGAGCTAATTGCTCTAGGATGCCTTTATAGCCAGTGGAGCGTAGGGCCGATTTGTTTCTTCCTCAAGTTACCATCTAAAGTAAGTCAGCAGAATCATGACTGAAAAGTGTGGTGTCCAGAAAAGCGGTCTAGGAGGACTAGCTCAGCAGCAGACTGACTCAGAGTTCCACAAGATAAATCCTATCATCTTGTGGCAGAATAGACACTGGAATTTCATAATGACAGTTTCAGAGTAACTTTTCAGACTTAATGATTTAAATCACTAGCAAAATGAGATGCGTAGTTACTAAATGAGCTGCACTAGTTGTTCCTGAAAGTGGGGTTTAGAAATAGTACAGAATGTGTTTTCCTTTGAGTGATAAGATTAATCACGTTCTTTAGGTTATTTCTAAAATGCTATTGAAACTTAACTACTATAAACAGAAAGCTGAGGATTCTGAAAACGGGGAGAAACTTGAAAACAAGTAATCTGACGTTCCCCCCCCCCTTTGTGTTTCTGCTAAATACAGGAGCAGTATTTTGCTTTGAGACCTGAGCTAAGGACCAGGAACTATGGAAATATTACCGATCGTGTGGAATTGAGAAAAAGATTGAACTGCAAGTCGTTTAAGTGGTATTTAGATAATATCTATCCTGAGATGCAAATATCTGGCCCCAATGCCAAGGCTCAGCAGCCAGTTTTTATTAATAGAGCGCAAAAACGACCAAAAATAATCCAGCGTGGAAGGGTAAGATAAACTTTCTTAAAAATACAGAAGTCTACCTCGCAAATTACCTTTCAGAAGAATCTCAAAATTTGTTCAATAATGAGTGAAATAGTGCGTTTCCATAGAGTTTTAATATTGCAGTAGACTATCTTGAAAATGATTAATTTTGAGTCTTTAGACAAAGGTAAGTCAATCTGACTCTAATCTGTATTTCAGGTCATCTTCAGACTAGATACTATTCAATGAGGTGGTTTACCTCTAGACTCCAAGTTGAAGTTTTGAAGTCTTTAGGATGCTCTTTCTTGGTTGTTGGTTCTGTAGCTGGATTTGGATAGAGAGAAATGGTCTGCAGTTTTCATACGCTGTTGGTTTGCGATAAGAGAACACCATGATTAGTTTCCAAACTCATTTCTTTTACTGGAGAATTTTCTGCAACGATGAACACTTACTTGCATCTGAGACTGTTAATGAGTTTTTATTCTCAATTCCTAGATAATGAAAAAAACCCTGCCCCCCCCCCCCACCCCCCTTTACATGTATTCACAAAGAAAATCTGGATAAAGATTCACCCTTTAGTTCTGACTCCTATATTTATGGATTTGTATGCAGGCAAAGCCAGAGTTGAATATGTTCTCTCTAGGTCTGAATTTGGCGCGTGTGTGTGGTTTTTTTTATGCTTCCCAAAAATCATGGGTAAAAAGGCCTAAATACAAGGTTTCCTCTGTGAAAGAGAAGACCTTTGCATGAAGTATTTCATGTGCATATAGATTATGGATAACAAAAGATTCCAGCCTAACTCAGGAACTGAAACTGTTAAGCCATGGATGCAGCCTTCTCCATGAGGGCAGCGTTACACAGTCTGCAGAATCTGACAGTTGCTGATCCTGCAAGTGCCCTCAGGTTGGAGGTCCTGAGCACTGGCACAATCCATGGACAGAACCAGTTGTTTGCTTTGGAGTAGCTGTCTGGGAATCCAGATTTTTTTAATTGTATGCCAGCCCGGTTCTAAAGTTAATTATAGGGGCAAACATGCCTTCCCTGAATACAGCTGATATAGAGAGCTGATCCAGGCATTCCTCTAGGCAGACTTTTTTTTTTTTTTCCCCCCTCGCCCTGAAATTTAGTGGCTTTCTGCTTTCATTCAGACAGAATTTTAGCTAGAGAAAGTCGATGTGGGGAGAGACTCCTGAGAGATTCGATTTGTCTGAGCAACCACAAAAAGGAGAAGCCTTCCTGACAATGATTTGCCATACTTTGATTTAAAAAAAAAAAAAAAAAAAAGGTGTATCCTGTAAAAGAAGGGAGGCAAGACACGGTAAAATGCAGTTCCTCAGCTTGCTTCTCTAGGGTTTGAGAATTATACCCGGCATTGTGTGAGAGTCGGCTTTGGCTCTGATTTATATAAACTACTTCCAGATGTCTATAAGGAACAGAATGATCAGCCAATGTCATCGCTATGTGCCAGACTCTTCAGATTCAAAATGAATCACTCCAAATCCCAGCTTATTCTCAGAAACTAATTGGGCCGGAGATAAGTGCAGGTTTGACAGCTGGGAAGAGCTGTAATAATCACAAATTGCAGCAGTTCTTAACAGTATTGTCAAGTGTTGATCATCATGGTCAATAAAAACAAGGAAAAAATTATGTGAAACTCATGTAGCTGTACGGTTTGAAAGCCTAGTGTTGAGCGAGTAATGATGTAAATGAGATTGTGACTGGAAATCTCTGGGGTGCGAGGAAATGCTGCTTAGGAGGTTTTTTTTAATTTGTTTTAGATGTGTGTAGGGA